CCAGACCCCTCTGCAGAGCCTCAGGACCCTCGATGAGACCAACACTCCCACTCCATCTGGTGTCATCTCCAAACACACTGAGGGTGCACTTGATCATCCAGACCACTGTAAAGATGTTAAACAAGCCTGGCCCCAAAACTGAGCCCTGGGGGCCACCACTTGTGATGGGTCACCAACCAGATGGAACTCCACTCACCACAACTCTCTGGGCTTGGCCACCCAGCCAGTTTTTCACCCAGCCAAGAGCCCACCTGTCTATGCCATGAGCCACCAGCTTCTCCAGCAGAAGGCCCTGGGAGACAGTGCCAAAGGCCTTACTAAAGTCCAGGCAGACAATGTCCACAGCCTTTCCCTCATCCACTAAGGGGTCACCTGGTTGTAGAAGGAGATCTCACAATATTACACAATTAATTAATATTGTGAAATGCATCAGGATGCTCTGTTTTCAGAGAGACCTTGGGGCAGAGGGCTTCAGTTGCTGGTATGTAGAAGGATGCTCATCATTCATTGTAACATAAAAGTCAATTCCTTGCATTGAAGAATTAGAAAAAAGAAGTGTTTTGTGAAAGATATCAACAACTCAGCCACGTTCTCCACATCTGGAAGAAAGCCTGTCTGTATCTCAGCTGCTTCACGTGGAAGGAGACTCCTGTGACCCTGGTGACAGCACAGAGGAAAGGGGATAGCCAGCAGCCAGGAGTGGCTTCCTTCAGCAATCCTTCATTAATAATTTAATTGTTAATGGCCATGTAACCAGAGTGGCTGCAGGAGAAATGAACTGTCCATTACACTGACAACACTTCTCAACTCTCTTTGCATTCTGCTTAAGCAACAGGGCTTCTCTGTTGATCAAAGATTAGTCTCTTTTAGAAAGGGAAAAAGGTGTGAGGCTCAATTAATAAATACAATTCATTTAACTTAATTTACAGAAATTTCTGATACAAGAATTTAACACAAAAATCCTGTTACTTTTGACCATCTAAATTGACCCATGCTCTGTGTGCTAGCTGAAAGTACAAAGGGAAAACTAAGACCTGAAGTGTTACCACCACTAAAAACCACTAATTCATCCCATGTCTGACCTCAAAAGAAGAACACCTGAACCTATCTATGATACAAAACCCCAAACACAGATGCCCTGAACCTGACAAGGACAGTTCTTGCTTCCTTTCCACTTAGATGGTCACTAAGATGTCTCTCATGAACTCTCATCTGTGCCTCCAAAGAGGAGGAGGGGGCAACACACAAGGAACAGGTCCCAGCTAGCTGGGGCTGGCAAAGGGATACAATCAGAAATCCAATGCCAAAGAAATGAGACCTCTGGGGAAAATTCACTTCTTATTTCTTCTAAAAATCTCCTGCCTACAGCAGGAGATCTAAAAATCACAGCAAGATTGTCATGTCAAATGCTAACAGAGATGCTTTGTGAGCAAACATTTATTTAGCACAAAATTTTGTACTCAGACCTTAAAATTGCTATTTTCCCCTTCTCAATTTGCTGCCTGGAAAAGCCTACAACAAATTTTTCTGTGAGATGTTAGATTTAGGAACATAAGGTGCAGGCATGTGACTGCTCAAAGTATCCTCAATGAATTCAAGAGAAAACTCCCAGTTCTAACAACTCCTCCATGGAAAACTATTCCCTGAAAGAACATCTTCTGTGCCCAGTTATTTTCCTCCTCTTCCTCCAAAGAGTGACACACTGAACAAAGTGCAGCTGGCTGAAAAGATTTTTAGCTTTAATAACGTCTCATCATTCAAACTTTCATTTGGAAACCAATACTTTTTAAAGGAGGTTTGCTAACTGGAAATTGAAACAAGATTGAAGTAGTCTTTAGGGATCCCACAAAGCAACTGAGCACCAGGGACATTCTTTCCATCCCTGTCATGTTAATGAAACTTAAAGACATCAGAACACCTCAGAACAAAGAGACTCCTTTCTGAGAACTGCATTGTCAATGCACTTCTCTATTCATAGCAGTTTAAAACAGAGTTAATGCACTGAAACATATCCTTGGAAGTTCATTTAAAGAGAAGAATCCAGACACAGCCTCAAAAATGACTAAAAATAACCACAAAATTCTTGATATGTGTTTAAGATAAAACAGAATCCATTTGGAAACTATGTTTATTAAAAAAAAAAAAAACAACCCAGACACCAACATACAAACAAAACCCAACCACATCCCCTCCTCATGCCTGCTTGGCAAACCAACCTCAGCTGAAGGACACGCTCCAACAGACTCTGTGCTGGTTTTTGGGATGCAGCAAAGCCTTTGAGAACATCTCACACTGCTGAGCCTTGTACAGGTGTTAAACTGTTGAGATCCTGCAAGGTAAAGCCAACGTCCCAAACTACAAGGAAGTGATCAGAAGATACTATGATTGAACTCCTCTTGTTGTTACTTTTGGACCTTCAGCCAACCAAGTGGATGGAAGATACTTACAGCAGCCCTAGAGGATAAACCATGTAGATAAACCTTCCCCACCCCTCATTTCTGGGTATTTAACACTGCTTCATTTGTATTTTCATACAGATCTTAGAACAGACTATCCTGGGCTAATAAAAACAAGCACCACGTATTTCCCAGGACATCTATTTTAAAGTTTCCCTCTCTAGTGTCCAAACTACTGCCAGAAATCTGCCACACCCCACCCTGGGAGACTGAGGCCACTCACCCTTTTTGCAGTCCTTTCTTGGCCATGCTGCTGGTGCAAAAAGAACCTCACAACCCCCTCAGATGCTGTTTGCCCCATCCTTTTTTCCTAAGCTTTCCCATTTTTGTTGTGGCCCTGGACAAAGCAAGCACAGAAGAAGAGTAGAAAGCCATGTGGACAACTCCCCCACGAAACCTTGGCAGAAGCAGTGAAGTGGAACCAACAAGGGGAAACCATTTCCTAGTGCCCTACTTACCAAATCAATCAGAAATCAGCTCCAGCAATTAAGTGATAATGAATTATTGATGATGCCCACTTTGAGGAACTGAGCACTTAGCAGCATTTATGAAACTCAAGGAACTGAGGTCAGTGGTATCTCCATTTTAAGCAAAGCACAGACAGCAAACAACTGACCTGATGTTCTGCCCTGCCAAGGATCTCTGTTATCACTGGGATGTTATCTTAGTCCTAGTTGTACATGATCACACATCACCTTGGTTTCTGTCTCTCTCTACCCATGTGTAAAACATTTGCAAGTGCTCCATGTACAAAAATTCAGTCATTTCAGTAACCACATCTTAATGTGTTCAGAAGTAAAGAGCAGCAAAATGGGAGTTAGGGGGAAAAAAAACTTGAATAGAAAACCTACAGCATATGTTCAGTGGCAGGATTTGCCCCTGGGAAAGCAAAGAAGGTCTTCAAGCCCTGCTATTTCAAGATCCTCTAAGTCTGTGCATGGCATGTCTTCAAGTCAGTTCCCTTTTTTTTGCCAATGTAAATAAATCCAACTAGACACTCCACAGAAAGCCAAGGAATTCAGTGCTGGATTTAAAACACCCTTGCCAGCCACTCAAGGCTGTCAGGCACACCACAGGGGCACAGTTCCTACCCCTAACCCATCAAAGGAACCTAGGAAGGAGAACTCTGTCTGCTTCTACCATGCTTGAGTTTTCTGCTGCCATTATCTATTCACACCACTAAAACTCAGACACAGGAGATGAGCACTCACTGCACGTTGTCTCATCTCTCCCACCCCTTCCCAGTCCCTCATCAATACTATGGAAATCTCTCCTAGAACTTTCATTCCCAACAGCAGTTGCCAAAGCCATGCAGACATGGATTCAAGCTGGACCCACGCGTCACCCAACTGGTGTTCAGCACCACCACGATGCCACGCTGAGCACCACAAGGCTTTCAGGGGAGCTTGGTGACTCCTGGTGTGGTCCCTGCTAGGAATGTCACTGAGGTAACCTTCAGGAGGGGGAAGATCAACGTCAGTGTGCTGGTGACACAGTCCAGCCTTGCTGACAGGACCCCTTTCAGGCAAGGGCAGCTCTCTGGGTGGAATTTGAGAAGACCAGAGACAGGGTTCAGCCCTGCCAGGGATGTCTTAGATGATTGTATTACTCTGCTTTCCTTGGCTTCAGCCTTCCTTAGCTGTTAATGATTACTAATGCTCTCCTATCCCATGGGAATGCTGCAAGCATCCATAATTTATGCTTCCATGCTGCTCAGATGGGCATCTGAAAATACCTACTGATCAGTAGTTTTCCAAATATATAAACTGGGCTTTTTTTTAAGAAGCATCATAAAAAATGCAAAGTATTAATATTGAAGCCCACAGGTATATCTTGAATAATTTATTCCTTACTAGTAAACAGCAACAAAAATCTTTGAGCAGGTATGCAGCTAATATTCAGTCCAGGGATTCTGATTAAAATATAAGTAGGTTGACCTTCAAGCAGACAAAACTCCAGCTTCCCAAACTCTAGCCTGCAACTACCAAGTTCACTTTTGGAACTACAAAACTCCTTTTAGATACAGCAATTAGCTGCCCTCCTATTTACCCTCACAGTGGCTCAATCAGAACCCCTGGCATGGTACCAATTCTTGTGTTCCTCTTGCCTGTGTGCATACCTACCCCCTGACCTGTGTTTAATGCTTGTGGGAGGAGGAGAAGGGATTAACTTGGGAGGTTTGTTTAAAAAAAAGGCTGAATCTGTACATTTCAAGGCACCCCAAATGCCTGGAAGCATGCAGTGCCCAGCTCCTGGTACAGCTGCTCACACCTAGGGTTAAATTCTGACAGCTGAGCTCACTCAGACCATGTTTTGTTCTCTAACCAAAACATTTACAACAGCATTTCAATAACATTTTTTTTTTCCCCAAAACAATAAACCAACACAACCCTTCCAAACCAAAGGAAACAATGCTGGAATATTTACTAAATCTATGCCAAGTTAGTTTTCTTAGGGGGATGCACAGAGCAGCAAGGCTTTGCAAGCACCCAGCTCATCCCAGGCCATCAAGGGTGGAAAGTGGGGCCCAATTTTCTGACTGTAGATGGATAAACAAATCAAACACCACCACTGCAGTGAAAAATGAGCTCAACTGTGCTTTACAGGCTGAAGGTGGCTGCCCCACGAGGCTCCTCACAAGGAGCAGTGGCTGTAACTCTGGATTCAACCTCAGTTAAGGAGGAGAATATCCTGCCAGGGATCAGAACTGCTTTTTGTATTTTTCAGATTTCATTGGGCTCAGCTAATTGGCCATTAAGCTCCAATAAGGTGGACATTTATCTCCAGATAACACAAGGAAATTGGAAAGTAAGCAGCCTTAGGCTACCCTGAGGACTGTTAACCAAATAGCAAGGCAGAGCTCCATTAAAACAATTCATCAGAAAACCCATCCAGTCCATTGGCAGATTTTCAAGG